TTTTTTTTTTTTTTTTTTTTTTTTTTGTACAGCAGATCAAATTTGAGAGGCAAGTGCAGTGCCACTGAGCTAAATCTCTGGCCCAAGATTCTTTTTTTGGGGGGGTACCAGGGAGCAAACTTGGATCTTTGAGCTTGTGAGGCAGGTGGCAGAACCACTGAGCAAAATTCCTGGCCCCAAAATTTCTGGATGATGGCAGCTTCAGGAAACTTCAGGGCCTTAGGCACAGTCTTAGGGTACTTGGCCTTTATGCATAGTAGCTCAGCTTCAGAGAGTCTGGCAAATGATTTTGAAAATGGAATGGAAGCCATTTGTCTGTGTCCTTGCTGATACTGCACTATAGGCTATCTGTATTTTTAAAAGCTGTGTTTCAGAGTCCAGTCACAAACTTTTGTGTCAAGAGGTGATGTGATAGAATCCTGACCTTACTTACAATAGTATGTTCTCAAGTTCAGCAGCTGATTGGCAGTGGTCTTCTCAAAGGTGTGTTTTTTTGTTGGTTTTACCATGTAAATCATAACCTATAGGCCAAGCTTAGAGTCTACTTCTCTAACTTTTGAATGATTTGATGAACACCTAGATTCTTATATTATTCATTTTTTCATAAGATAGATTGTTTTTTTTCCCTATAGCTGCTCCTTATTATATTGGTACTTTAGCCCAGCTGTTGAACTCTGTATAATACAGAGAAAATGTAACATTTAACCTTAAAACAATGAGCACAGTGAAAGGTAAATGACCATTTTTTATTTTATAGGAAGATTGCCAAATGTGAAAATTTATACACTTAAAAAATTTTGCTGATTTCCTAGTGCCATTAAGCCTTGATTTACTGTATTACTTGTATAAAGTATTAATTGTATAGTGATGATTCATTAAAAATGTCTTTTGTATCCAGTTGAAGTTTATTTTTCTTATGGTCATTTGGCACACAAAGCTTTACAGAAGAATGTAAACAAAGATTTGGCTTAATACTTCGTAAACTAGTCTTGTCAAACAACCCTTTTAATATACTATACAATTCTAAGAATATAAAACTACTATTATGCCTATACCACAGAGAATGATTCTATGACAAAATAAACACTGAACATAATATGAAAATAAGCACTGGATTTTAAAAACAAATAGTTAAAATGCAAAAAACACTTTACATACAACCATGATTATAGCTGATATATCAAACAATAGGCTAAAATAGTTGAAAAGTCATGTTACTTTATCTTTGCTTACATTTATAATCAACGATGTCTTTTCTTTATCATTGTTTATCTAATCCTAGCTAGCACACACCTGGTCTGTCAACTGACTGAATGTTGGTTTACCTGATTAATTTGTTTAAACAGAAAAAGAATTATCAAAGGATATTCACAACTCAGGGGCACCTTTGGAGTATATTTAGAAGCTTTGTAGCCCAAACCAATGCTAGGATTTTTACAGAAGGGCAATAATATAGTTTAGATCTGCTTCACTCCTCATGATTAGTTTGGGATCCCTCCATGCTGTGTGTCAGGCAGTCATTTCTTTTTACTGCTAAGGAATGTTCCCCTGTATGGATGTGCCATCATTTCTTGACTCACTCAAATGGATATATGGGATTTTACCAGTCATTAATTATTTTTTAAAGAAGTTTTAAAATAAAGTAAATATTTTTTTTCTGAGTAATTCAGATTTCCCTATTATTTTACTTGTCTCTGAAGGTCTTTCTACAACATTTCTTACAGTACTTTTTTTTGGTATCACACTCATTTGGTTTTTATTGAGTTAAATGAATCTTTATTTTATCTTCATGTTTGAAAGATATTTCTTTTTTTCTTTTTTTTGGATCAAACTTGAGACCTTGTACTTGTGAAACAGGTGGCAGTGGCACCACTAAGCTAAATCCCCAGCCAGAAAGGTATTTCTATTGGGAATAGAATTCTCAGATTATTTTTCTTTCAACAGTTAAAAAGTTTTCCACTGCCTTAGTTTGTATCATATTAAGTAGACTGATTTCTTCCTATATTTGTTCAACATGATAGCAAGAAATTTTTCCTAATGGCTGTTTTAAAACGGACTGTAATGTAGTTTGTATATTCTTATCCTCTTTCTTGCTCTTAAAGTTCATTAAGCTTCTTGGATCTATAGCTTTATATTGTTCATCAAATTAGGAAAAAGTATGGCATAGCACTGCTTATTCCAACACTGTTTCTGAACCATCCATTCTCTCCTCTCCTTCTGGGACTCCTACTGCCTATGATTAGGTAATGTGGAGTTGGCCAACAGCTAACAGAATCTGTTA